AAAGCTGCTTGTCACAACATGATGGTTGTGGACCCCAGTTTTACAGGGACCATGCAGAAGATACAAAATGAAAAGAACATCTTGGATGAACCTGATACTCCTCTTGAGGTTGGTCACATGATATATTTGCATTTGTGTAGTGAAAGCAGTTTTGTGTGTGTTTGTGTGTGTGGGGAGGAGGGTGCAATGGGGTTAAAGCAACAATTATACCAACATTGCAGTTGTTTTTGAGAGTCCATTCAACACCTTTATATCGTGTGTGATGGATACGCTATAAGAGAAGTGTTGTCTTTCACTTTACAACACAATTTCATAATGTAAAAAATGAAATAAATAACACACATGATAAACACACCACAACATTACAAGTCATGTAATTTTTTTGCCACGTATTGTTTTGATCATACCAATTGAATCCAGTGGCACTTTGCAGCAAGTCTCATTTCAATAGTTGAAAACCAAAACAACAAAACAAAACAATTCATGTACATTTTAGCTTAAACTTGATGTAACTTTTGTCGCTTTAGTTTAATAAGACGTTCTTTTGATTCAACATTTTTGTTTCTCATTCTTGTCGAAAACTATCAATTTTAGTAATCCATTACAAATCATAATATTTGGACTCACAAGAGAAATAAGTTTATATTATTATTTTTAATTATAATAAATATCATTACGGACCACTTGGATTCCATTTAATTCAATAATTTCACGTTGTCAAAAATGAAAATTATATTCAAATTTTCATTCCCGTTACATAAAGTAATCATAGGCTGCAACTCGTTTTATTTATACAACTTATTTTTCTCTCAATAATGCCCGGAACTAATCCTAAGTAATTATTATTGTTTTGTTTTGTTTTGTTTTTTTTAATGTAGGTTAGGTCTTCGTGTGTCTGTTGACTTGTACATGCTGCAGTTTAGTCATCCTGGAAGTGGGATTCCCCCATTTGTGTCTATTAGCAAAATGTCTTCTTCAACCCCGGATAATGAATATCATTACGGGCCACTTGGATTCCATTTAATTCAATAATTTCATGTTGTCAAAAATGAAAATTATATTCAAATATAGTTTTCATTCCCGTTACATAAAGTAATCATAGGCTGCAACTCGTTTTATTTATACAACTTATTTTTCTCTCAATAATGCCCGGAACTAATCCAAAGTAATTATTATTGTTTTGTTTTGTTTTGTTTTGTTTTTTTTAATGTAGGTCTTCGTGTGTCTGTTGACTTGTACATGCTGCAGTTTAGTCATCCTGGAAGTGGGATTCCCCCATTTGTGTCTATTAGCAGAATGTCTTCTTCAACCCCGCCTTTTTTTTTTGTTTGTTTTTTTTGTTTTTCCTTGCCCTTGGGAGGGTTTGGATGAGGCGGATGTTCCAAATATTTGTTAAGTGTTTCTTTGTGCAGTCGTTTGAGGCTCATTTGTGATTATGGGCATTACAAATAAACTTGCCTTGACTCCATGCAAATGAAAATAAAATATACTTTTAAAAAATGCATCGGGCTGTCTGCCTACTCCATGGGAAAGTATTGGCATCCCGACAGTTGAATTCAGTATTTCATTTTATAGGTTATGTTGTGCATTTCAACTCCGAAACCATGTTTTCACAAATATATTAACTAATGCCAATTATTTTAAGGGCACCGTGTGACAGTCATGTGATTTTGCCAGATCTAGTGTATTTTCGTTTTAACGTGTGCGAGCCTTTGTTTTTGCGTGCAGTAGAGAAAAGTCCGCTTGTGGCCAGAGTGTGGCAGTCTACAACAGGGCTTCAGCCAGTCCCTCCCTTTTGCACAATGACGCTTTCGACAATAAAGCAGTTATTTCGAGCCACTGCTCGCTAAACGTGGACGTGGACGGTTGTTGTCTATATATTATATTTTTGTTTTTTTGGATTTGACGGATTACGTGTGCAGTGGAAAGCCGGTGGAACGTTAATTTACGACGATGGCGCAGCAAGTATTGTTGTTCGTCATGGTTCTGTATTTCCCCTCCGTGGTCGGACAAGTCAGCTACTCGATCCCGGAGGAGATGGAGAAAGGCTCGTTGGTGTCTAACGTAGCGCAAGATTTAGGTTTGGATTTAAAAAGGCTGAAATCCGGGCGAGCTCGCATTCATTCTGGAGACAACGCGGAGTATCTCGAGCTGGATAAAGAAAGAGGGCTCCTCCTTGTGAAGGAGAGGATAGACAGAGAGACGCTGTGCGGTGAGACGACGCTCTGTGCTCTGCATTTACAAATGATTCTGGAAAATCCCATGGAATTGTTTCGCATCACTATTGAAATCACAGACATAAACGACAATGAACCCTCTTTTGAATCCATCAGCAAACGTTTTGAAATCAGTGAATTGGCCATTATTGGCTCCAAATTTGTGCTGGAGAAAGCCATCGATGCTGATATTGGTACAAATGGCCTGCAAAGCTACTCGCTCAGCCCAACCAATAATTTTCAACTGAAATTGGAAAGTCAAGCAAACGGAGATAAAAAAGTGGAGATGATATTACAGAAGGCTCTTGATCGAGAACAGCAGGAGAAGCTTTCCTTGTTATTAACAGCCTTTGACGGCGGACAACCGCGCAGGTCAGGAACAATGCAGATTATTGT